AGGATAATTGTAAAAATTTGCTGTCAAACTTTGCCTTGATTTAACCAGTATAGCTTTTCTCTTAAGCTCCCTCAAAGCTGAGGGGGAAGAAGGAATTTAACTCTGTATATCTAATCTGGGGTTGGAAATACCAGTTGTTTCACAATAATAAAATAACATAGTTGGAAGGGAATTTTCCCAAGCACAAGGCCCTGTAATATTTTAGATAAACGGTTATCCAATCTCTTCTTACAAACTTCCAGCAATAAAGCACCCACAACTTCAGAAGACAATCCATCCCACTGATTTAATTGTTCCAGCTGTCAAGAAATTTCTCCTTAGTTCTAGGTTGGTTGTCTCCTTAATTAGTTTACATCCATTGTATCTCATCCTGCTTTCTGGTGCTTTGGAGAATAGGTTAACCTTGAATTCTTTGTTAGAGCCCCTCAAATATTGGAAGACTGCTATCATTTCTTTCTTTTCAGTAAATTAGACATATCCAATTCGAGCAATCGTTCTTCAGATGTTTTAGCTTCCAGCACCATGATCATTCTTGTTGCTCTTCTATCCAGAGTCTCAACATCTTCTTTTTTTTTTATTGTGGAAAATATAAAAACTGGATGCAATATTCTAAGCGAGGTCTTATTAAGGCTTTATAAACTCTTAGTAAGACTTCATATGATCTTGATTGTTGATTGTTGTTGATTGGTGTTTTGACAGCCACACACAGACATACACACACACACATACACACACATAAACACACACACACACGCACACACGCACACTTCTACCTCTGCTAATCTTTGATTCTGTAAGGATCTCTTGCTGGAGCAGGGGGTTGGACTAGATGACCTCCAAGATCCCTTGCAGGCAAGCTGTAGATTGCTGTTCTGCTTCAAAGTCTTCTGAAGTCAGGTTTTATGTCCTTCCTTCCTCTCCTTTTTTTCTCTCTTCCTCCCTCCCTCCTTCCCTGTATTTATCTATCTATTCATATAGCTCATTTACTTTCTCTTCCCTCTTTCCTTTCTTCCTTTCTTCCTTTCTTCCTTTCTTTCTTTCTTTCTTTCTTTCTTTCTTTCTTTCTTTCTTTCTTTCTTTCTTTCTTTCTCGCTCTCCCTCCCTCTTTCTTGCCCTTCCTTCCTTCCTTCCTTCCTTCCTTCCTTCCTTCCTTCCTTCCTTCCTTCCTTCCTTCCTTCCTTTCTTCCTTCGTTCCTTCCTTCTATTACCTTTCTTCTCAGCTGTTCTTATTTTATGATACTGTAGAATCGCTGAGCTCAGTCACTACAAAAAGAGCCGAAGTCACTAAGAGCTGACTGTCATAGCTGTTGACACTATTCGTGGGCGCGAAATTCAATTTCCCTGCGGATGAAACGGCACCACCGAAGCAAAATTACTTCGAACCCTGTGTCCCTGCCTTTCAGACCGACGGCTGAGACATGGGAGTCCTACAGAAGCCAATTTGACTGCTTTCTAGACGCTTTAGACCTTGCTGATGTTACAGCCCCTAGGAAAAAGTCCTACTTTTTAAGTTTTTGCAGAGCCGCAGTATTTGACACTGCCACAGCATTGGCAGCTCCACGTTCTGTCAAGGCTGTTCCTTGGGAAGAATTGCAGGAAATTCTTTCCAATCACTATTCCCGTAAGCCATCCCAAATTGCCAGAAGACATGCTTTCAGGAGAGGAATTCAAGCTGAGGGAGAAACCATTAGTGAATACATGGCTGCCCTACAGACAGCCGCTTTGCATTGTGGGTTTAGAGACTATCTAGAGGACATGCTATTAGACCAAATAGTCTGTGGAGTCAGGGATTTAAGGCTACAGAGGCATCTACTGGTTAAACGAGATTTAATCCTGGCAGTAGCTATTGAAGAGTCCCAAGCTGCTGAACTATCTGCACTTTCAGCAGCAGAAATTCAGGGGAATCCAATTAGCCAGAGTAGTTCAGCCATCCATTACGATGAGGCATCCTTAGAAGAAGGCTCTGAAGGGGCTCACGATGTAAATCGCCTCAGGCAGCAAAAAAACAGTCAAGGGGAAATCAGGCCACACCCCCTTCTACCTCCCCGGCATCAGCCCATTTGTCTCAGCTGTGGGGGAAACCACCTTAGGGCCTCCTGCAAGGTCAGGAATGCCATTTGTCTAAAATGCCAAAGGAAGGGTCATTTAGCCAGGGTCTGTCAAGCAGGAAAGACTTTTGCCTAAAAGCCTCAGACAACCCCAATTTTTCAAAGGCAAGTTGAAGACTGTTATACCTGTTATCACGCCAACCGGACAAACAAAGGCTCTAACAAAATTAGTGTTTTTGTCTCCATAGAAGGTAAACCCTGCAGGATGGAAGTTGACACAGGCTCTGCACTATCCATCATCTCCTGGGGCACCCTAAAAAAGCTACTTCCCAGACTGACAAAGAAGAATCTCCTCGACTGCCACCTGACCTTCCGCGATTACCAAGGCAGAATCATCCCAGTCCTCGGAAAAGGCAAGTTTTTTATACAATTCAAAAATTTTAAAGGTTAGTTAGCCTTTAGTTGTAGTGGATGGTGCCCTCCCTAGCCTATTGGGATTAGACTGGTTCCCTGCCCTTGGCCTCCACGTAACCGGTATCCACTCTATTTCAAATACTGAAGTGGATACCTTGTTCAAGGACTATGCTGATATGTTTAGCGAGGGGCTGGGGTGTTACTCAGGAACTCCAATATCCTGTAACTTGGACCCTCAGGCAGTACCAATCCGTTTAAAGCCTCGAAGGGTACCATTTGCAATCTGCCCCAAATTGGACAGTGAGCTGGACAAATTAATCAAACAAGGGGTATTGGAGCCTGTGGACTTTGCAAAATGGGAGACCCCAATAGTTCCATCCCTAAAGAAAGACGGTAGCGTGAGAATCTGTGCTGATTGCAAGATGTCATTGAAAAGATATTTGCAAATCAGCGCCTATCCAGTCCCTGTGATCCAACACCTTCTACATTCTTTTGAGCCAGGAACCATTTTCGCCAAATTAGACATGGCACAGGTCTATCAACAGTTCCCTATAGATGACACAGCCGCAGAACTGCAGACTACAGGGGCGCTTTCAAATGCAGGCGCCTTCAGTTTGGCGTAAGCGTAGCCCCTGGTATTTTCCAATCCTTAATGGAAAGACTTCTCCAAGGACTCCCAGGCGTAGTCCCCTAGTTCGATGACCTTTTAATTTCGGCCATTGACAAGCCCCAATTACTGCAAAGAGTCAGAGCAGTCCTTGATCATTTCAGACAGCATGGCCTCAATTTAAAAAAAGACAAGCACCCTATTGCCACTAAACAAGTAGAATTTTGGGGTTATAGAATTGACGCCTCTGGTTTACACCCAATTGAGTCCAAAGTCAGGGCTATCCACGAGGCACCCACACCTACTAACAAGACTGAGCTCCAGGCCTTTTTGGGACTTCTTAACTTTTATGCTGCATTCCTGCCTCACAAAGCTTCCGTTGCAGAGCTTCTACACAGACTTTTGGACAAACAATCCCCCTGGCACTGGGGATCTAGGGAAGCCCATGCCTTCCATGCTGTCAAATCATTACTTACTTCCAACAAAGTACTAATACAATTCAATCAACAGCTGCCTTTAGATCTAGTTGCAGACGCTTCTCCTTTTGACACAGAGGCTGTTTTAAGTCATAGACTGCCAAATGGTTCGAGGCACCAATTGCCTTTTTCTCAAGGACCTTTTCCTCAGCTGAGTGCAATTACAGCCAAACTGACAAACAGGCTTTGGCTGCAGTTGCTTCTGTCAAAAAATTCCATGAGTTCCTATGTGGACACCATTTTGAATTGATCACAGATCACAAGCCTCCGTTAGGCCTTTTGTCAGGTGAAAAACAAACCCCTCAGATTTGGTCTCCAAGGATGACCAAGTGGACTTTATTTCTGGCTGCCTATTCCTATACGCTGGTTCATCGTCCTGGCAAAACCCTATGCCACGCTGACGCTCTCAGTCTCTGCCCTCTGCCTGTTCCTGTGAAAGATCCTGCACCAATTAATGCTATTTTTGAGATCAATGATCTCAATCTTCCCATCGATGCCCTTGACATCGCTGCCCACTCCTCACGGAACAAGGTAATCGCCCAAGTTCTGGACTGGATGGGAATGGGGTGGCCAGAAATTCCGTATGCCCCCAAATTCCTGCCCTTCAAGATTCGCCAGCAAGTCTTTGCCAGGCTGTTTACTGTGGAGAACGAGGGTAGTTATCCCTTCCAAGCTGCAGGGCTCAGTTTGAAAAGTCCTGCATGAAGGCCATCCTGGCATTGTTAGGATGAAGGCTCTGGCTCGCAATTACGTATGGTGGCCAGGCATGGATGCTCAAATGACTAGTTGGGTGAATGCTTGTCAGCCATGCCAGGCTACCAGGCCTGCTCCACCCACATCTACTCCAGGCAGGTGGGAAGATTCTGGGGCCCCTTGGTCCTGGTTGCATATCAATCTAGCTGGCCCTATTCATGGGTGAACATTCCTGGTAATGGTGGATTCCTTCTCAAAATGGATAGACCTGGCCTTACTGACCACCACAACTTCACAGGCTGTTACAAAGGCTCTAACTAGGGTATTCATTACCCAAGGTCTCCCTGACACCATTGTGTCTGATAACAGCCCTCAGTTTACTTCCTGTGAGTTTGAGGTTTTCTTAGCCAACCTAGGGATCAGGCATGCCCTCACAGCTCCTTTTCATCCTGATAGTAATGGAATGGCTGAAAGGGCCGTCAGGTCAGTTAAGGAGGCCCTGGAAAGGTCTGGCTCGATAGACTAGCACTCTAAGCTTTCTAGGTACATTTTAACCCAACACACAACCTCCTGTGCCACTACTAACAAGTCTCCAGCAGAGCTCCTCATGGGCAGATGCCTGAGAACCACCCTAGACAGGCTCCATCCTCATTATGTCCCAGTCACACACCCCTGGGATCAGATAGCCAGGCAAGAGAGTTTGCTCAACATGACCAGATCTATATCCGCAATTATGCAGGTCATCCCTTATGAGTGCCAGGGCAAATTGTCGTAGTAACAGGTCCTTAGTCTTACAGGGTCTTGCTGTAAGATGGTCGCACCTGACGCAGGCACATCGACCAACTAAGAAGGCGCTGGAGCGTGGCTACTGACAACCCTCGTTGCATGCCAAGTGAAACAGACCAGCTGACACACGCAGAGATTTCCCCGAGACACTACAAGCGAGTAAGCCTACCTGGATTGCCGCCAGTTCCTCACGCAGGGTTGCCCAAAGCCGAGACTCCAGTCCCTTTGGATCCTGAAACAGCCCAGCAAGCGGAGGACTTCTTTCCCACAGCAGCTCCACCAGAAGTGAGACAATCCGGCCGCCTGTGCAGGTGCCCGGCCTAACTTAAAGACTACACATGCTCCATGCTAGGGGAAAGGAGTGTAACATTCAACAGACTAACCCACAGTCTTCACTCTGGTCCGCGCTTCAAGCGAGAATACAGACTGCTCCTATTGGTGGATGCCGTTTGACAGCCGGCTCTAAAAGGAGCTGTCAAATGGCATCAGCTGTTGCCTCCAGGTGACTGCCCTGTTAGCTCGGCAGCCGTGGCAACCCTTTATTCTTGTAATAAAGTTACAGTTGATGTTCGCTCCGAGTCTTACCACCGCTCTACAACAGCTATCATGTCCTTCTTTTCAGTAAATTAGACATATCCAGTTCCAGCAATAATTCTTCAAATGTATTAGCTTCCAGCACCACGATCATTCTTGTTGCTCTTCTTTCTATAGTCTCAACATCTTCTTTTTTTTATTCTGGCAAATATAAAAACTGGATGCAATATTCTAAGCGAGGTCTTATTAAGGCTTTATAAAGTCTTAATAAGACTTCCCATGATCTTGATTCTATCCCTCTGTTAATGCCGTTTAGGATTGTGTTGGGGTTTTATGTCAGCTGCAGCACACGGCTGGCTCAGGTTTAGGGAACTGTCCATTGGGACTAAAAGATTCCTCTTGGAGTTACTTCAATTTCGCCTGGTTTCACCTAATCTGTATCTGTACATTTGATTTTTCTTGCCTGACTGTAAAACCTTGCTTTTTTTTACCATTGAATTTCATTTGTTAGATGGGTCCCAGAGTGCAAGTCTATTGAAATTCATCTGGATCTTGAGCCGCTCTTCTGGAATGCTGGCTGTTCCTGCCAGCTTAACGTCGTCTCTAAACTTGATGAATTCCCCATCTATCCGCTCATCCAAATCATTGAAGAAGATGTTGAAGTGTACCGAGTCTAAGGAAGAGCCTTGGGGTACCTCATTGCATTCCTCTCTCCACATAGATGTAGTTCCATTCAGCTTGGGGAGACACAAGGTCTGAGAATGAAAAGATTTACTGAAATATTGCAATAGTTTGGAAGGGGGGACATAAGGGTCTCCTGGCTTGGAGACGGACTCAACTGGTGTACCACCAAATGATGACTAAAGCGAGACACGAGGAAAATGGAGGATTTGCAGTTTGTGAAGCATTATCCATTGTCCCAACCTTAAATTAAAAATATCTAATAGGTTAGTGGTAAAAAGTACTTTCTGGAACACAATCATGGTTGTATTGGAACTGCACCATTCTTTTTACCAGGAGCCAAATGAATGAATGCCACATCTCTGTTCATAACTTAATCCTCTAAATTTATTCAGGGAGACAATGTGCACAGTATATTCATTTTGCACAGTGCACGATGTTTATTTTGCATAAGCAAAGACAGGTAAACATCTCTCTTAAATTCCTTTGTCTTTGGAAATCCAACAAGATTAATTTTAAGCTGAGGTTTTAAGATTGTCAAAGGTGAAGCGGGAGAAGGAATTTAACTATCTCTACATTTAATCTGGGGATGGAAACACCAGGTCTTTCAGAATAATAAAATGACATAGTTAGAAGGGAATTTTGGAAGACTTCTACTCCAACCCCCTGCCCAAGCATGAGGCCCTGTAATATTTTAGATAAACAGTTATCCAATCTCTTCTTAAAAAGGTCCAGCAATAGAGCAAAGATATTGCAAAGATATCGGCTGCGATCACGGACCTCCACGATCGCATGCCATATCGTCATGATGCCAGCAAATAGCCATTAAGCGAGGAGCACTTACATTTGATTTGCCAGTCACATGGACACCTGCCCAGGCCTCACCCTGTCCTCTCTAGGGCTCCACAGGCCTTGGAAAATGGCAAAAAGCACTTGCTCAGCAACCAGCCATTAAGGGAGGACCTGGTCATTAAGCGAGGACCACTGCCCAAGCATGAGGCCCTGTAATATTTTAGATAAACCGTTATCCAATCACTTCTTACAAATGTCCAGCAATAGAGCACCCACAACTTCTGAAGGCCAGCCATCCCACTGATTAATTGTTCCAGCTGTCAAGAAATTTCTCCTTAGTTCTCAGTTGGTTCTTTCCTTAATTAGTTTCCATCCATTGTTTCTTCTCCGGTTTTCTGGTGCTTTGGAGAATAGGTTAACTCTTTCTTCTTTGTTGGAGCCCCTCAAATGTTGGAAGACTGCTATCATGTCACCCCTAGTCCTTCTTTACAGTAAATTAGACACACCCAGTTTCAGCAATCCTTCTTCAGACATTTTAGCCTCCTGCCCCCTGATCATTCTTGTTGCTCTCCTTTCCAGAGTCTCAACATCTTTTTTTTATTGTGA